AATTACGCCTGTTGCGTTCCTCGCAGCTTAGCGGGGCCGGGGCTGGTTGATGTGGCCCCGGGGAGACTGTTTATGCGCCAAATCTCCACAACATCCTGCACGAGCGATGCAGTAATCGGAGGTTCGGGCGCCGCGGAAAAAGGCGAGACCCCGTTTTACGGCAGTGAAATCCTGACGCTTTTAGGCAGAGCTTCTATAAACCGTCCTGCTTGTCGGCAGGTGACCCCTGGTGACCCCTGGAAGCACCTGTGCTGTCCGGCCAGCTCCCTGCGTCTCTGTGGTCTATGTGCTCTTCCCGACGGCTCGGTGCGGCAGCTAGCTCAGGCCCACAGGCTGAGGGTACAGTGGCGTGTGGGTGTTGGCGTCGCGGATGAAGTAGACCCCCCCACTGTGCCTGTCTGTCTGTGTTGCTTTTGTGGGGCGAAACGGCGCTGGGCAGCATCTGAAAGGGGAGTGATAAGTCTGCTTAATAGGGAATTAACAATCAAGACGGGCTCCCTCCTGTGTCTGTCTGTGTGCTTGTGAGAGTGTGAGAGACAGGGAGAGAGTAAGTGTGTCTGCCTGAGTGAGAGAGAGTGAGAATGAGCCTGTGTGTGTCTGCCTGTGTGTTCCTGTGTTTGTGTGTGTGTGTGTGTGAGAGAGAAAGAGAATGAGTGTGTGTGTTTGTGAGGAAAAAAGGGAGGACATGTCTGCACATTGGTGAGAGGAGCTGTGTGATTGTGTGATTGTGTGATTGTGCATGCACGCGGTGGAGGATGTGTGCTGGAGGGAGGGTGCGTACCCAGCAGCAGTGGGTAAAGGGCGTTAATGCGTGACGCGTCCAACTCCCCTGTGGCGTGTTATACGGTAATAAGCAGTGAGTCACATGTCACACCAGTGAATCTGAAAGGAATTTGGCTGAAAACATGCGAGCATGCAGTTTACTCTCTCTCTCTTTCTCTCTCGTGCGCGCACACACACACACACATGCACAGATTCGCTGGATCTGGTCCACTTAGAGGAACATGGATCAGAACCGCAGAGGCTTAACCCCTGTTTGTATCAGGAGCCCGAGGCCTGAATTCGTCACAGCTTATATTTGTTGTGCAAACGAAAAAAACGAAGCAACTCACTCAAAAGTTCGCTGACATTCTGCCATGTCAGATGTTCTCACCATATCAGAAACAGCTCATACCTCAACTTTAATGTAAAAACCCACTTGATGGATGTGATAAGATTCGGTTCCCAGAGATAAGGTCGGAAAATCACTTTTTCTGGGCTTTAGTATTATTTCCAGGGGGATTTGAAGCTGAAAATAAAGGCAAAGAGTACATATAAATAAAAATGGCAGAGTTGAGTGGATGGAGCCCTGCTACGTGCCAGAGCATGATGCAGAGAGAGACAGAGTTCACCTTTTCCGAAGGTCACACTGACACGCGGCCGATTGTCATCAATGTTTGCGCTGCTGTTTGTTCTTTGTTTCTGTTCTGTTCTCATGCACCTCGCATTCAGTCTCTCCCGTTCCGCTCGTTCAGGTCGCCCCAATTTTCTGGGTACTTGCACAACTTCCCTCCCCGTGCCTAGTACTGCCTTGCTTTCCGGTTGGAAGGTTCCAGAAACACGCTTCTACTCAGTGACATGCTGCCATTCCATCAGAGTGCAACTACTGTCTGTATTTCCCCTCAGAGACACTTCCTCTCTTTCTTCTCTCTTCATGTCTCCTTGTACTTGACGTGGTCAGATCTTGCATAGTGGAAGTCAGGCTGTCACTCAGCTCTCCTGGAGAGTTTGGGGGCTGGAGAGTTGCTTCTGGTCATACGTCCTGATGTTCTCTCAGTGCTAATGGCATTTCCCGTGGTCGCAGAGCCACAGAGGGTCGAGAGGAAGTACAGAGTAATGTTTGCTGGGTCCTCAGCCCAAGATTGACTCACATACATCTGGATTGCTCTTGTTTGCTTTCCGAATGCATTTTAATCAGAGAGCAGATATTAAATATGTAAAATATGAGATTCCACCCCAGCCGCAAACATTAATAACGGCTGCCTGGGAGCTGTACGTGCGAAGTACCTTTCACAATTTAAGGCGCTAAGAGGAGGAAGGCATGCGTGTGAAAATCCATCTGTCTCACGGTCACACACACACACGCACATGATATCAGACAGTCTAAGACAGGGACACACACACAATGGCATGCGGAAGAGCACACACACATTCACATGCGCACACACACACACACATGCGCAGACACACACACACAGCTTCAGTATAACTTTTTTTCTATGGACTCACCATTCTCATGTACTGTTAACTATTGATTCCTAACCTCAGCTCACCAAAACCATAACCACCTACTGTAGCTTTTACACTATAATTTTTCTTTTTTAAGTAAATGAGTCTGTTACATAGATATGCTTGTCTTGTGGGACCGTCTCCTTTCATGTTTCTGCTCTGTGGCGACACTCTCAGGCCTGTAGGTGGCGCTGTGCTGTGTGGCCCACTGTAAACAAATCATGGTTTTTCCGGAACCAGGGGCCACCTCTCCCTGCTTCTGTGAGCGCGGGACAGAGCTTGTGTGACGACTGCCATCACAGCGAGCAAGGCAAGAATTATCAGCCATTTTCACCTGGCTCTCCGCTGCACTTGGCCTGATTTAGTTTTAATTAAAAGCCTTTCACTCAAGCTTTTATTAATTGGTTCTGTTCTGGCCTTGACCATAAAATGTTTTGTCCTCTATTCTTAGCACTTTAAACTTAATTCTCAGATGAACGTGACTCTTAACTCGCATTTGTATGGTTTCCCACTCCTCCGTGCTGCTTGATTTATCCTCGCCGGACAAGTGACATGGACACTGAGCCTCTCTGGCTGAACGTCTCTTTCCTGGCTGCTCCACGTGCCCAAGGTGCAAGTTGCAATACTTTGGGACTAATTCACTCCCATTATGTCTGTCCGTGGTTGTTTCTCTGAGAGATGGCCGTCCCAGGCGGACACTGGGGAGAAGGTTCCGGAAACACAACTTTGTGGCATGACTGAGTGAAGGGGAATGGAGAGGCATGCGTACCAGCTGGAGTGGAACCGCGCCGGATTCCCTAATCACCCTCCGTGTCTTTCTAGCATGCCATCCTAATTGGAGATTTTGTTTGGGGTGGTGGTCAGAGCAGGCAAAGAGCAGACGCCCATTGGCTCGTTAGGGGCCGTCACGTGTCCCCTGGGCTTGTGGTCTACAAGCCGCTTTGGTCGCTGCGCAAATTGTGGTGGACTGTGGTGTTTTCTTCAATGCAGAAGTCATGGATGGCAAGTGCTGGTCTCAGGAGTAAAGGCTGTGAAGCAGAGAGCAGGGCGGGTGTGTGTGTGTGTGTGTGTTTGTGGGTTTGTGTGTGTGTGTGTGTGTTTGTGGGTTTGTGTCTGTGTGTGTGTGTGTGTGTGTGTGTGTGGGACATGAATATATTTCATTGTGGGGACATTTGGTCTCCACAATGTGATAAAAACCTGTTAATTTGATGTTGTGGGGACCCCACCTTTTCGGTCCTCACAAGGGGAAACTCCGTTTTATAAAAATCTGTGACTGCAATCAAACAAGTAAGGGTAGGGTGTCCTTGTTGGGATTAGGGTTTTTCCCATAGCAATTATGGATGATTCCTTCGAAGATAGAAAAATAAATATGTGTGTGTGTTACACATTTGCATATGTGTGAGTTTGTGTGTGTAGGGTGGGGGTTCCGTGGGGTTCTGCAGATCCAGGGAGTGCTCTGCATCTACGCCTAGGGGACACTCTTGCTGGCGTAGGTGTGGTTGTTGTTTAATCACTCTGGGGTGCTTCTCTAATGCAGCCCTGCTGACTTCTGTGTCCTGGACAGCATCAGGGAAATATCACTGCTGCCCTACACAGATATTATAGGCAATATAATACCCCAGTCGTATTAAAAAAAAGTTTTTTCGCTTCACTGCATGTGTTCACTTGGATTTAATGTTCGGAAGACTCATTATTTTCTCCTTCTTAACTGATGCAGTTTAAGAAAAATGTCTCGTGGGAATTGAGAAAACTTTAAGTAGGTATTTTAAGCCATTTCTGTACTTTTCCTTATCGCTCCGCATTACACTCCTGATCTACCTGAAGCCAATGGCACAGAGAAAAGAGGCTTTGCAATTAGCAGGAACCAAAACCAGGACCCGGCGAGCCTCTGATGTGCCCTGAAGCTGAGCCGAAAGCTTCGGCACGGTGCCGGCTGGAGACTGGCACCAGGCGTCAGATCTTGGTCCAGTAAACTGGACCGCGGTTAGATAGAATAATTAGCCTTTACTGTTTATGTTTGGATGAATTCTGGATGTATTTCAGGAAGCATTTAGACATTCTGGTCGCCTCCACTCTGGTCAAAACCAGAAAACATGGAAAATATGAAAATTCATGAACTAATGAGGTTCAGAGTCTATACTTAATATGAGAAAAAATTATTAGTAATGCTTTATATTAACTGCACCTTCATAATGCATTCATATAATTTCCATAAGCAGCATGCAACTGTACTTTAACATCATATCATACCTTAACAGCTTTAATATACATTAATAACAAACATTATATGATTGAATGATTATAATGATTGTTATTATCATATACTGCTTGTTATTGATGTATATTAAAGGTGTTATTAAAGGTAAGCTAAGATGTTAAGGTGTACTTAGATTCTGCTTATGAACGTTCTATGAATGCATTATGAAGTTGCATTGAATGTTTTACGTATTAATGTATTATAAAGGCATTATGAAGGTGCAGTTAATGTAAAGCATTACCAGTTGTTTTACCTGTCGTCGTACGGATCTCACCATGACTGTCAGTTTAATGCGATGTACGGCTCCTCTGTGATTCCAGAAGCAGAATTCACTGTTTTTGTGGCCCTCCCCAAGAATGTCCCATGAGGTTAGATAAGAATGTACACAATGTTCATACACATTCCAAAATATTCTGTGTGTGACCATGATTTATGGCATGGCGTGTTTTAAACCTTGACATCTGCTCTCTTTCAGCTTCCTTGGAGGTGAAGGTCACCCCTTCCTACAGCGAAATCAGCGTCGGACAGTCCAAGTTCTTCCTTTGTGAAGGTAGGTTTGCAGCAGAGGCAGAAGAGCATGACACATCCCCAGTAAACACGTCATGCACAGTGTGTCATCACCTGCAGAAATGGAACGGAATTATGCACATAGGGACAGAGCTACACAGCGACTTACAAAGGGAACCACACAGAATTACAGAATATAACAGAATAACACAAAGAGAATTAAATACAGAATAAAGGAGCCACATGTAGAATAACAGTTATGGTTCATTAAGAATCATACAGAGAATGAAACACGGCCCTGCACAAAGTGATGGAGGGAAACTGCGAGTCACAGGGAGAGCTGCGTAGCCAATCACACACAGGGTGATGGAGGGAAACTGCGAGTCACAGGGAGAGCTGCGTAGCCAATCACACACAGGGTGATGGAGGGAAACTGCGAGTCACAGGGAGAGCTGCGTAGCCAATCACACTCAGGGTGATGGAGGGAAAGAGGGAGTCTCCGAGAGAACTGTGTAGCCAATCACACACAGGGTGATGGAGGGAAACTGCGAGTCACAGGGAGAGCTGCGTAGCCAATCGCAGGGAGAGGTGAGTTACAGGGAGAGCTGTGTATCCAATCACACACTGAGTGATAGAGGGAGACGGCGAGTCACAGGGAGAGCTGTGTAGCTAATCACATATTGAGTGATGGAGGGAAACGGCGAGTCACAGGGAGAACTGTGTAGCCAATTACACAGGGGCCCAGAAGGACATGTACAATCACAGGGTCACACAGAGAATCACAGAGTTTCAGACAATACATTGCTGGCCATCTGGCACAGGGTATGGGGTAGGGGGCTCATGAAATCTGGACAACCATGTGCATCAGAAACGACATGCCAGATAAGCAACTCATTACGCCACTCATCCTGCATGCTTTGCTACCTGAAACTGGAGGGTGGATGGCCCTAAATCTGTGAGACCCCATGGTATCTCTACCCCCTGTATTTATACAGTATCTTTGTGGGGACTCTCCATTAATTTCTACGAGGAAGACTCTAATCGCAACATGATGATCTTAACCCCTATCCAGCCCTAACCTTAACCAAACAAAACAGGAGACTTTTGGCATTTTTACTTTTTTGATTGCATTCACAGATCTTTGTTGGGACCTGAATAATGGTCCCCACAGTGTCAAAATACTAGGTTTTTCTTACACTGTGGGGGACATTTGGTCCCCACAATGTAATATAAGCCTAATCCACACACACACACACACACTCCACTTTACATTTCATGAAAGCACTGAAAGGGTAGGTTTCTTTTATGTGATTAGTTTTAATACAGCAAGCCTGTCATACTTCTATTCTTCTAATAACCAGAGGTTCACTAACTGACATTGAGACGGCTAAGATGCCTGATCTTAGTGATTTTAAACCTGGCATTTTGGTGGCAGACATGGTTGTTCCTGCATCTCAGAAACAGCCATTCTTGGATAATCACACTCTGCAGTGGCAACGAGTTTAATGAGAATGGTGTGATGAACAAAATACATCCAGTCAATGGCAGCTATGCGGCCCAAAACACCTTGTTAATGAGAGAGGCCAGAGGAGAACTGCCCAACTTGTTAAAGCTTCCAAGAAGGACACGTGCAAAAGGAAGAGTTCAGTACAATAATGATATACAGAATGGCTTCTCTGAACAGCACAGCTCATACACCCATGGTTTTGAAGAATAAGGAGGTGACTGCCTGATTCTAGTTAGCTAGCTGTACCTTAATAAATTGGGCACTTAGTGCAGTATATTTTTACTATTATCATGTAGTAATTTTAGTTGGTGTTAAATTCAGTCCATGAGATTGTTTTAGCTAATATGTAGCATGTTTTTTGGGGTTAATACAGTTCCATTATGTTATGTTATGTTACGTTATGTTACATTACGTTAAGTTATTAGCATTAGGTTACATTGTGTTAGCATATAGCATTTCCTGTTGGGGTTTCATTGGATCCACTAGGTTACATTGTGTTAGCATATATCATCTCCTGTTTGGGTTACATTGGATCCATTAGGTTACATTGTGTTAGCATATAGCATTTCCTGTTGGGGTTACATTGGATCCATTAGGTTACTTTGTTTTAGCATATAGCATTTCCTGTTGGGTTACATTGGATCCATTAAGTTACATTGTTTTAGCATATAGCATCTTCTGTTGGGGTTACATTGGATCTATTAGGTTACATTGTGTTAGCATGTAGCATCTCCTGTTGAGGTTAAATTGGATACATTAGTTTACTTAGTGTTAGCATGTAGCATCTTTTGTTGGGGTTAAATTGGGTTTTAACTGGGTTTGTTGTTGTGAGCGTGGGCAACGTAATACAAGAGCATCAAATTCCCCCTAAAGCTAATGGGAGATTAACAGCAGAAGTGATTATTTTCTATAATGCAGCACTCAAGATGAGCTCTCTGAAAATAAAATTTAATTAAAATCAGCAATGTGGAAGATGACAGGTTGCAGTATCAGGTGCAGGTGTGTGAGTGCATGTGCGTGCGCGTGTGTGCGTACGTATCGCAGACAATTGAATTAATATGATTGTGATAAGAACTCAGTTGGACTTTAATCACATTTCATTAATTTTTGAAGGTTAATGCTGATGAAGGTGAAAATTACGAAGCCCTATCACACAGTGCAGGACGGGCAAGATGCTCTAATGGGAGAGGAAATTACTGGCCAATTATCACAAATATCAAAAAAACTGCAATTTGTAACCTGTGGGGGTGGCTTTGAATGGAAGGTAGATGAGGAGTCATGTTTAGTCAGTTCAGCCTTAATGCCAGTCCTGTAAAACAGCGTTTCTCAACCCAGTCCTCAGACACCACCAGACTGTCCAGGTTTTTGCTCTCTCAAAATTCCCTGGCAATTGGGAGAGAGCAAAAATGTGGACCATCTGGTGCTTCCTGAGGATGAGGTTGAGAAACGCTGTAAGACACACAGCTCTGTAACTGGGCCCTGATACCCAAGCCGACCAAACTCCTTCCCCACTTACATGATAAGCACCTGCTGTTTCCTGCTAATTAACACCATCTCCCTTTACAGGCCTTGTTTAAGACCCCATCCTTTCCCCACACACACCCCCATCCCATGACATCATTTGCCATCCCTCTGCGAGCGAGTCTTACAGATTTCATTTGCTCAGCAGACCCATTTATCTATGGTGACGTATGTGTTTGAGAAAGCAGAGGTCAGGCAGTCCCTGGAGCAGTTGGGGGAGGGGTTATGGGCCTTTGGTGACATCACTCTGCTAACCCAGGGATTTGAACCAGCAACCTTCCAATCACAGGCACAGTACCCTAACCCACTGAGCCACACATTGCCCCACTTACACTGGCATGATATTATTGCATAGATGATTTTTTGGTGTCATGGCTGCCGCATAGAGAGTCTCTAAGGCTCTCGCTGGCCTGTTTTATGAGCCCCTTTGATACTGTCTGAAAGTCCCTCGCCGACCTCCATGCTTCCCAGAGCCCTGATGTCAGGAACTCGTCCACCTCGGCCATTACTTGCCGCTCCAAATCACCTGTCGATGTCAGTGACCCGTTTTTCCGCCTCTCCTCCAGTCGACACCGACACACAGGAGATTGACTGGTACCTGCCAAGCGGCGAGAAGATATCGCCCAACCGGCCGGACATCAGCATCACGCTCAGTGACAGGATCTCCACGCTGATCATCTACAACGCCGACCTCGACAAGGCCGGCGTCTACAGATGCGTGGCCAGAAGCGGGGACTCCGAGGCCCAGGGCACCATCAACGTCACCATCTTCCGTAAGCCTCGTCCCGCCGTCAGCGCGCGCTCCGGGTCCCTGACCACCTGGGCTTGATAGGGGTTGATTTTGTCTCGCTTTCCAGCTCCCTTAGTGGAAATTTCAACCTCTCAGCGTGAAGTCAAAAGCAGCCAGAGAATAGAGCACAAAATAAAGTCTAATGATCCCGTTCGTCTGGACTAATGAGGTTTCTGCTTCATAAATAACTCCTGGCTGCAACAACAGACCTTTTCCGTTCCTTTTTGACTGATGTAAATTGCAGGCCGAACCCATTGTACGGTGTCATTCATCAGTTCAGACTGGCTTTTTGTTTACCTGCCTCCCTAAGAACTCAGGATTCTCTCAAAGCTGTTGAGGCTCACAGGGTGTAGCGGTGGCGCTTTTCACCGCTACACCCCCTACTGTCTGCATGTCAGTATGATCCCAACGACCGTGTCGTCTCCCCTTTCCAGAACAGCTCGAAATTAAAAATGCGCCGTCCCCCCAGGAGTTCACGGAGGGCGACACGGCCAGCATTGTGTGTGACGTGGTGGCCTCCCCCCCACCTGTGGTCACCTGGCGACACAAGGGCATCAGGGTCAGGGCTGAGAACGACGGTGAGACCTGGCCGATTCCTCGTCTTCGCTTACGGGTGTTTTGAGCTTTTGGTCCATGCTTATCTGCTTATGCCACTTTAATGAATAAATCAATCAACATTTCTTTATATAGCACTGATTTAACCACAGGGTTTACAAAGTGCTTTATAGACATTTAAAATAAAGGAATTAAAACAAGCATACACAAAAAAATCTAAATAAAAAGTTTTAGTAAATGATAATAATAATAATAATAATAATAATGTAGGCTCCAACCCTGAGTAGGACAGGCGAATTCAGAAAATGGATGGATGGATGGATGGATGGATGGACAGACGGATGGGTGGATGGATGGATAATAAAATACCAGAAAAACGTGGGACTTTAACCACCCACATTCTTTGCAGGAAATCGCAGTAGAATGGTGCAGTCTGCTGTGTTTCTAGGCTACATCCAGATGTTTTTGAGACACAGTTTCATTCCACACTCACTGCTTTATGGAGCGTTTCTCTGAATGCGTGCATCCTGACTACTGCATACCATTGCTGGTAGGAAGCTGGAAGGTTTATTGGGTCTTTCCCACAGTTTGCAGCATCTGCTGTCCTATCTTGTGCTTGGTATCTTGTTCTTTTTGCCATTGCGGCTCTGGCCCATTTCTCACAGGAGCATTAGGTACTCGTAGATCTGTATGGAAGCCGTACATTTAGCAGAAAGGAAGCTTATGCAACCTCGTCAAGATTAACTTGTTTTCCTCTTTCCTGCTGTCTTTCTGCACTGCTTGTTTCCTGTCCAGTGCGATATAAGATCCTGAATAACAACCACCTGCAGATCCGGGGCATCAGGAAGAGCGATGAAGGCACGTACGTGTGCGAGGGTCGGGTCATGGTGCGGGGCGAGATCAGCCTCATGCCCGTTGATGTCATCGTTAATGGTGAGCCCTCTCTCTCTCTCTCTCTCTCTCTGCTCCATGTCTGCCTCTGTTTTTCTTTGTTTATTCCTCTGGTTATCCCTCTGTTCTGCAGCCTGCTCTCCCATGTGAGTGTGGCGTCTTCCATATTAGTCACTTTTACAGATTAGTGTCCTGTGATTAGTACTGTTACTCGAGTCATTGTTGAGCATTAGTGTCCCTTCCCATGATCTATCCCGTGCCCTGTATATCAGTCATTGTTGACCATTAATGTCCCCTCGCATGATTTATTGGGTACCCTCAGTATAAATCACTCTTAACTATTAGTGTCCTCTTCCCTGATCTATGCCATATCCTCGGCATGAATCTTCTTTAACCCTCAATGTCCTCCTTCATGATCAGTGTGGTTGTTTTTGTTTATTTATGTCTGTTTGCATTTAACATGGTCAGTTAAGTGTCTTCGATTATGGCTATCGACAGCAGGTACAGACGTGTTTCAGCTTCTGATCCCGCCGATGTTTCAGTCTTTCCGACTATCAGGATCCGGCAGGCGGAGGTGAACGCCACGGCGGACATGAGCCAGCCCGTAATCCTGGCCTGCGATGCCGATGGCTCCCCAGAGCCCACTGTCACCTGGACACGGTAGGCTGGAGCACTCGGGGTTAACAATCCCTGGGGATGGACTGAGGTTTTTGGGGAACCAGCAAGGTGTTCAGGGATGCTGGGGTGGATCTGGCAGGGTTGTGGACCTCAGAAGCAGTCAAGGATGGTTACAGAAGCAGAAGTGGTGGCTCTTTAGGCAAGATCAGAGTCCAGGATGGTTGGTCTTGCCTAAGGAGAGAAGAAGACTGTGCACAGAAGGACCATATGACTAATCATATGACATTTCTGAGGAGGAAATGTATGCAAGCTGCTGAAACATAAAATAATCCACGCTGCCCAAATCAAGGCCAAGAGTGGATCTTGTGCCTTATGCTGTCTGGGAAGCTGAATGGTAGCGATTAGGCTCTGTGTCAGTAAGTACACGAACGGGAACGTGAGGTTAATCACCAGGTGGAGCTGCTTTCTCTGGCAGGATTCTTTTATTTTACCCTCTTTTTTTCTTCTTTTTCATAACAATCGGCAGAAATAAAATCGTTCTTGAAAATGGGAATAAGTACAGCTTCAACGAGGATGGCTCGGAGATGACAATCAAAGGCATCATCAAGCTGGACGAAAGCGAGTACGTGTGCACTGCCAGGAACAAGGCCGGCCAGCAGGAGAAGGAGATTAGCCTCAAAGTATTTGGTAAGCGACGCTGAGCAAACCCACCTGACGGAAACCCAACATGGCTGGATTTTAGTCGTGACATCCGGAAATTTCCTGTTGCAGTGAAGCCTAAAATCACATACCTGGAGAACCTGACGACATCCGAGCTGGAGGAGCAGGTGATGCTGACCTGCGAGGCGCTGGGAGACCCCACGCCAACCATCACGTGGAGCTTTGGGAGCCATGTCTTCACCGAGGGGGAGTCGGTCAGTGTGGGCTCGGTGTGGGGTTAAGTGTGGGCTCACTGCAGAGTCAGTGTGGGCTCACTGCAGAGTCAGTGTGGGCTCACTGTGGGGTCAATATGGGCTCAGTGTGGGGTCAGAGTGGGCTCACTGTGGAGTCACTGTGGGCTCACTGCAGAGTCACTGTGGGGTCAGTGTAAGGTCACTGTGGGGTCAGTGTAAGGTCATTGTGGGATCAGCGTAGGGTCACTGGGGTCAGTGTAGGGTCATTGTGGGGTCAGTGTAGGGTCACTGTGGGGTCAGTGTAGGGTCATTGTGGGGTCACTGTGGAGTCAGTGTAGCGTCACTGTGGGGTCATTGTGGGGTCACTGTGGAGTCAGTGTAGCGTCACTGTGGGGTCATTGTGGGCTCACTGTGGAGTCACTGTGGGGTCAGTGTAGGGTCACTGTGGGGTTGGGGGCTCTATCCTGTGCCTCTTCTAAGGCTAGCCCCAGACAGAACCCAGCCATACAGCCAGCACTACCATAGCCCATCCATGATAAGCATGGGGGCCCCTGTGGAACGTTCTGGAAGCTCAGGGGGGTTGTCATTAGTCAGTCTTCACCAGTCAGTTCATGTGTCGGTCTTTTCCTTCACAGGATCTTCATAACAGGATCTATCAGGTATGATATCAATAACATAGTATCAATATCTGTTTGGTGTTTAACACACACCATGAATCAAGGTATCTACTACCGTGTCCAAGCTCTCAGTAACCTAACCTGTGCCTGATCTTGACCTTTGACATCGCCTGGATGTTGCATGATCACAGCGAGCCCTGTCCTTATAGCCTCTAAAGCGAATCTCCCACTCCTTCTACCCGCGTCATTTCCACCGGCGGGTTTGTCACATGTTTCCACACAGCCAATCAGAACACGAAGCCACATGTCCATACTGTACACTTATCCGTCCCCTACCGCCTTTGTTTAGGCATTTGAAAAAAAGAAAACAACACTATACGAAAATAGAGGGAAAACGAAACATTGAAAATGGCTTTTTGTTACCCCTGGTTACGAGCTCGGTGGGTTGCAGGTAAGAATGGGACGAACAGACCTGCTGGTGTTTGCAAATCTTTTTTTAAGCCGCCAAGGTCATCAGTTTGTCTTCCAGTACCCAGCTGAGCTCTTTACTTCATGTTATTTCAGACAGGAGTTCCATCGAACACTAAATTACTTCCCTTTAATAACATAACTCCTTTAATCTGCACCGAACGTCTCTACCAAGATGTTTTTATTTCCACTGATGTATATTTCACATATTTTCTCATCTTCTTTACATCAATGACCCCATGCCTCTTCCTTATTATTAGTTTAATGTTTTTTAATATAATTTTATTTGGAGATGAATCTCTCCATTGTTTAGGACTCCAGGCTCACAGACACAGACATACTTCTGAGTTATGTAACGGCACTACTGAGATATGGGGCTCACATTTTTTCTTTTATTAAAATAAATCTGAGTATTTTTTGTGTGAGTCCAGTGTCATCCGCTGTCTCGAGCACTCAGCTACTTCATGTCGTCTTGGGAGCAAATTTGTCAGTCTGGTCCTTTGTCTGACAGTGTCAGTCAAAAGAACTCCCTGTAATGGGTCCCAGAGATAGCCTGTAGCCTTTTTAATGGCACCTTGAATTTTCAGTCATTTTTATTTTCAGAGCATCGCATTTATGATTGATGTTTAGGTCAGAGTTAGGAAATTTACTACGTGATCTTGGTGTCTTGGTTTTGCAACTGATTGTGCAACGCTTAGGGTAACATTCTGGATACCCATCAGGGTAGATCAGTACAGGCTGTAAATGAAGGCTATATTTAGACAAGCAAGTTACTGACGTACAGTGAGAGGACAGGCAGTTTCTCCTCAGACTGTAGGTATATTGCTGGTGTATAACAGGAACACCTTCCAAACTGTTAGGATCGATTCTATAAGCATGCTTTGTTTTGGTTATTATTGTTTATATTAATACTACTACTTCTGTTGCGTGTTTTGTGTTTCGTTTGGTGTCGTGTTCGCTTCCTGCTTCTGTCCTGGTGCCTTGTTTATCAGCTGTGTGTGAACGTTCCCGGTATGACTGATGGTGTGACATTCGGCATTTGGTACGCCACCATCCATTACACTGACAGTGCAGGAGGGCCAGCAGAGGACGGACAGGCATGGATATGTCATGTCTGGGGGGCACAAAAGGCAAAAAGCACTCCCCCCCTCCCCAGTGAGGCCACAGGATGACTGTTTCTGGAAAATTCCATGGCATTCCTGCATAGGCCTTCATTACGTCTCGCTGGAAGGTACGGCGACGGTTTCAGGAGAGTATCAGCCATCGACTGTAAAGCAGCGCATTTCACCAGAATGGCTTCCACGGGAAAATCCGGCCATTACGCTGAAGTGGCACTTGGGTGAAAGCTGACGTCCAAGCTCTGTGAAGAGCAGGCGAGCGGCCCTTGCCAACGAAATGGCACTGTCCCTGATTAAAAAACCAATTTCCAGGTTTACCTGGGTAAAAATCCCGGCATTACCACGGATAAGAAGATCTGAAATAATCAGGGACAAAAATACATCGGTTTATTACGAATAAAAATTACCTGGATTATCCAGGAACAGAAATTCCCGAGGTTATCCGGGAGTAAGATGACCTTTGCTGTTCAGGGATTTAAAAAAAATACCTGAGCTTCCCAGGGGTAAAAATAGCCAGGTTGTCCAGCAAACCGGCACAGCGCGGCTGTTTAAAAGAACATTTTCTGGCAATGATCTCATCTCTGCTTTGGCCTGTGCTGCCCGCCTCATAAACACTCCATCCAGCCACCTCCATCCGCCAGCATCGCATGCAACTCCTCGTACCGGGAGCACGGGTTTGCGCGCCCATCCGTGTGGTGACGTCCTCGTCCGCATGTGAGTCACCAACCCGAACAGACCAGGAAGCGAACGAGGGCAGCGGCCTTTAAGTGTCTTTAATTGGAAATCGTCTCTTGGCTAGCTGGTCTCCAAGTGACCTCCAGCTACGCGATAAATAAGGAGAGCGGCGCCGCGAGAAAGCGGCAGATCTCACCGGAATGTGGATCCGCCGTCAGCCCAGTGTGCCTGTGACACGGAGCCATAACGTCCCCGTTATGAAACCAGACGCCTGTGAATGTTGCAAAATGCTGATAATTACTTGTACCCTTTTGACTGAACTTTTTGACTGAACGCATGTATATTTTCTTTTAGCATTTTCTCATTTCACAGGACTGGAGCAGGTAACACGCCCATTGCTTCACGTCGAGGTGTCTGTCTTCTTAACTGTGACTGACGATTCCTTTAAAGGCTCATTTTGTTTTGTTTTGTTTTTTTTCTTTTCTTTTTTTTTTTTTGCCATTTTTGTTGTCTCGTGTCCTTGTCTTGTTTTCTCCAGGCTTCCTGGACTCGGCCCGAACAGCACAAGGTACAGCTGTCTTAATCTGTAGCCAGGTGACCCATGCTAATGCTAGCAAGTGGGGATCAACGGCCAAGGTGGTGGTGGTGGTGGTGGTGGTGGTGGTGGGGGGGGGGGGGGTTTATGTCGCTAATGGTGAGGGGGCAAGACAAATCAGCAGTAAGGATAGAGAGGGCAGTACCAAGGGTAAAGTGGCTGGGTTGTTTGCGTTTGTTTTTACTGAAGTTAAAGAGGGCAGGATCAACATCACTATGACTATAGAAGGTAGGACTCATCGTGCTGAGGAGATGGGTAGCAGCTAGCCGAATCACCCCCAACTGTCCAGCACCACATGCGCAACCGAAGCGCAGGGAGACTGTCCATCAGATGACAGCACAGTGACTTACTTGTCTAACAGACAGACGGCAGAGATGGACTTTCCATTCTTTACCCTCATTACAGCAAATTACCTTGAGGATGCCCATCACACCACATTAAATCGGTCTACTGTGTCCTTTTGGTTTGTGCTAGATAGTTTAGACGGTCATTTCTGTGGTGGACTGTAAATGACAGGAACCAGGAGGCACGAGCGCGTGTGCGACTGAACACGTCCATCGGGTCGCCCGTAAATGCCGGCATCGGCCGATCATGGTTACGGTAAATAGGTTGGGCGTTTGTGGTTTAATAGGTTGCGCGCGCGGAAGTGCCCGTCCTGTGTGAACTTGCCACCTGCTGCTAAACTAAAAACGACTCCTATTGTGATTGATGTAAGATTGCAAGACTTAATTTAGTTACTACGTGTGATTTTTCTGTTTTCTTCTATGAAAGTGGTGTTTCCATCTGAAGTGTTCGGACAGCATGCTGTGAAATCAGTCAGCTTTGCAGCAGCTAATCATTTTAACTATGCTGGCCCTGTGACCTTCATCATCTCCTTCCTGCTCCACCTTGGGGCCGACACCCAGCTCCAGGCCCCTGATTATAATGCAAAAACAAATCCTGCCTCATTTTTGCTTGGCAGGGCAGCGGAAATAAGGCACAAAGGTACATCTGTGGTTAGCGGCGATAAATGCCAGTGATCTAATGGGGAATGCTGGTCCCAAAATCCTCTGCTGTGCGCTGAGCTGTTTGCGGCAACCTGCCATCCCTCACGGGGGTGGCTTTCATGGGGGGGTGGTTCCAAATCTATGGCTCCAAATCTACATTTAAATTTTATTTATTTAGCAGATGTACATCTTTTTTTTGAGAAAGCAGGGTCAGTCAGTCGCAGGAACAGTCGCAGGTGAAGAGCCTTGCTCAAGGGCTTGACAGAATCATCACTTTGCTGACCCTGGGATTTGAACTGGCAACCTTCTGGTCACCCCCCCAAAGCAACTGAAGGATCCCTCTACTGGCAGTCCCTACTCAGGCTGCCTCTTTATTTGGGGGGCAAGATTTATTTCATCCCAAATTCACCACTGACTTCTGTGTCTATGGAAGAAGTGAGATTGTGAACTGATGCACATGATGTGGGTGTTGGAGGAAGGAACAGGGACTCTGACAATGGGAAGCAGGCAGGGAAGGCGAGGCGGGGGCAGGGGTGGTAATGTCTCCGCTGTCGCGATGCTACTGCTTGTCACCTGACTCGGCCCCACAGTGAGCGTACCAAAAAAAAACATGCAAGCAGCAGAAGACTTCCTGTTTAGGGGAACAGGGCCCGGATTTGGGTGTTAAAAAGGCAGGGGTAAGTCTGTACCATCCTCTCAGGATCACGGGGGGGGGAGCCTGCTGGAGAGGAGGAATTGAAATTTTTTTCCAAGGAAGTTATCATTTTCATATTTAGAATGCCTGAGGCGTAGAGATGAAAGATTTAAAAACCCCTAACACAGATGATAGCTGTTTTTAGCAGTTTATTTTTCCTTACACGTGGTATGTGCTTACTTGAGTGATTTTGGGGGAAACATTAAAGGTTAAATTATAGTATGGCGTTTATAATATCACGCGGCTTTTGTTGCCGTTGCTGTCAGCTGATCACGACTCCAAATGCTGTTATAAAAATGCTGCTCTGGCAACGGAGGCACTGTTGCGCTGTGACGGCCGGATTTGCACATGGACGAAACGTGGTGACAGAAGCAGGGATCTTTCCGGAACGTTTGCCCGGATGAGTAGCGTTTCTCTGTCCCTTGCTGTGCAGTAATACGCTGGAGGTGTGTGGGGGTCAGATAGAAGGCGAGCCAGCGGGAGGCGTCGCTCATTAACGGGCCGCTAACGGCTGCCTGTGATGTCAGAGGGAGCTGGAGGGCCGTCTTCGTTCTCCACAGGATGCAGCACCATTAGCCGTTAGCTGTCCTGCTTTTGTTAGCCAGCACGTCCTCTGAGTACTGCGATAAGCCGGAGGGGTGGATCCCGCCCTGACGTGAGTGAAAGACGGTCTATCTGCAGACTTGGGTCTCCAGCTCCGATTGGGCCAATGAAACACTTTGTTTCTAGCGAAGTTTACACAGTTTAATGGTGCTATCTCATTTCTGCCATTAACTACACAATTCTGAGTCATTAATATTTCCTGAGATATACAGTAAAAATAGTAAGTTTTTTTTTTATTAATATGATTATTTACGTAAAAGCCCTCTTATTTTGAAGCATACTGTTAATTTAGGCAGCCGAAAAGTATGCTATTACATCTGTATTGTCTGAGTTTTATTTATGTATTTTATGATTTTTCTTACAAATTCTCGGCAACGTTCATTTAGTGAAAAAATACGCACGTTTAATTGATGTGAATGATGCTGTTTAAGTTAATAACGGCGCTGCGGTTTTTAGGACGTTTAAAAATAGATTTGCATCTTTAGACGTCCTGTGCGAGGTGATGCTCCATAGGGGGCTTAGATGCGAGGGTAAACAAAGTGGGGCCACGGGAGCCACTGAGGTGCATGCTGGGATTGTGTGTTTAGCCAAGTGCGGCGCAGCGGCAGCTATTTATAGCCGCGCTGCCCTTGCTGTCTTTTTTCTTTTTATAACCAGTCTTCTGGAGCGTTGTGAGCCATACGAGCTCCAGAGCGCCCCCTAGAGTGCCTTCTCAGGGGCGACAGTCAGGACAGTATCTCTCCCCGCATCTGTATTTGCCCCTGTCTCCCGACTTGTTTTTAAAATTATTCTCTTCAGAAACGAGGAGGAAAAGATATGTGCCATCACCTCTATGGCACGCAAGATCAATGGAGAAAGTGTAATGCAAACACGGCGTATGATGTCGGGCTGTGTGGACTACATGTGCGCACAAGGCGGCCAGGCATCTGTGTTCCGGCACCGGGTTCTGAAGCGAGACGTGCCATTTGGCAGATTCCTGTTCGCTTTTAGGGCTCTCTGAAAGGTTCCGGGCAAAAGGCAGTCAGATCATGTCCAGCGTGTGAGGATGTGGGGGCAGGGGGGCGTACGGGGAGGGGGACTGTTTGGGGTGAATAGCGGACTGGCTCATCTCCCCCCTCTGTACCTGCAGAGCGCGGACGGGCACGTGGTGGTCCGCAGCGATGCCCGAGTATCCTCCCTGACCTTGAAGACTGTCCAGTACAGTGACGCCGGGGAATACCTGTGCACAGCACGCAATGCTGTGGGCCAGGAAGCCGACGTTGCACACCTGGAAGTGCGCTGTAAGTTTGTGTGTGTGTGTGCGTGTGTGTGTGTGCGTGCGTGTGTGCGTGTGTGTGTGTGCGAGCGGGTTTACCTATCCTTATGGGGACATAATGTCCCCATAACGTGATAAATATCCGTTTTTTAACTTTTATAATTTTATAAAAATCGGTGACTGCTATGAAAAAACTAAAAATGCAAAAACTCTTGTATTTTGTTAGGTTACTTATGGTTATGGTTAGGGCAGGGTAGGGGTTAAGGTTGTAATAGTTAGCGTTAGCATTTTCCCCATTGAAATGAATGAGCGGTCCCCATAAGGATATGTTTACCCTACATGTGCGTGTGTGTGTGTGTGTGTGTGTGTGTGTGTGTGCCTATGTCCCACACATGCGCCCCAGTGAGCTGGCGGACATCCATCATCCTGTCTTTCCGCTTTCCTCTCCATGTTTCCAGCATTTACTCTCGCCTGTGCCCTCCAGACCCGGAACCTACCCCCTGCTTATCTGGGACACGGGTCAGTGTTGCCCTTTTGTATGAGAGGGGCCAGGATAGCAATTAAGAGCCTCTCTGAAACAGAAACAGGCCTGTGGATGTGAGTCTGCGTGTCACTCAGGGCAGCGTGATCTGTCGGGAAGGAGCTATTGACTGCTCCACAGCGTAGGGAGAGAGTTGTCTTAGAAAGCGGAGCATAGCCAGAGTTAGTCTGAGCAAGCACACCATTCCCCGGAGGCCGGGATGTGCATGACAGCGCTGATGGCCTCAGCGGTGACGACGTAGCCTACAGCAGTGTTCAGGTTCAGGTGTTTGTCGTGATTGCTCCGGCCTGAAAAGAAGCTGTTTCACCCATCTAACCCCCCCCCCCCAGCCTGATGGCCAGGCCGCCGGGCTACACGGGGCACCCACCACCTACGTCTGCATTTCCCCCACAGACGCACCCAAAATTCAGGGTGCGGTGACGGTGTACACCTGGGAGGGCAACAGCGCCAACATCAGCTGCGAGGTGCTGGCCCACCCCGCGGCCTCTGTGGCCTGGTTCCGGGACGGCCTGCCCCTGCCCAGCTCCAACGGCACCAGTGTGCGGCTCTTCAGCACCGCCACGGCCAGCTACCTGGAGGTGGGCCGACGCTTCACCGTGCTGACGCCATATGGGACTCTAACTGACACTTTCCTCCCCCTCTCTTTGGGAGAGCCTCAGATGGCCCTAGGCTGACAGGAGCAGACATTGGATCGGTCCCATAGGATAGGGTGGTCACATGGGATAGAAAATCATATGGGATCGGAGGTCACATGGGATAGGAGGTGGCATGGGAAAGGAGGTCACGTCAGATAGGCCGGACACATGGGATAGGAAGTCACATGGGATAGGCTGGTCACATGGGATGGGCTGGTCACATGGGATGGGCTGGTCACGTGGGATTGGAGGGCACATGGGATAGACTGATCACAAGTCATAGGAGGTCACGTAGGATAGGAGGTTATGTGCGATAGGAGGTCATGTAGGATAAGAGGTCATGTGGGATAGGTTGGTCACATGGTGTAGGAGGTGGCATGAGATAGGAAGTTGCATGGGATAGAAGGTCAAGTGGGATAGGTCACATGGAATGGGAGGTCACATGGTATAGGCTGGTTGCATGGGATAGGAGGTCACATGGGATGTGAGGTGGCATAGGATAGGAGGTCACATGGAATAGGAAGTCACATGGGATAGGCTGATCACGTGGGATAGGAAGTCACATTGGATAGGAGGTGGCATGGGATAGGAAGTTGCATGGGATAGAAGGTCAAGTGGGATAGGTCACATGGGATGTGAGGTGGCATAGGATAGGAGGTCACATGGGATAGGCTGATCACGTGGGATAGGAAGTCACATTGGATAGGAGGTGGCATGGGATAGGAGCTCGTTTGGGATAGGAAGTCACATTGTATAGAAGCTTGCTTGGGATAGGAGGTCACAGGATAGGTGGTGGTGTAGGATAGGCTGGTCTCATGGGATAGGAGGTCACACTGAACAGGTGGTCACATGGGATAGGTCATGCCAGACTATGTACCAGCAAGGATAAATTCAAAGTAAAGAAAAAGTAAAGAAGAACAATTTTCTGTTTCCCCAGGTCACTCCTGAATCCCAGAGTGATTTTGGGAGCTATAATTGCACAGCGACAAACGCCATAGGTACCGAATCCAAGGAGTTTCTTCTCATCCAGGCAGGTGGGTAGACGCTCGTACAGCTCCTCTGCTCTCTCTGGCTCTCTGGCTGTCGAGGAAATCTGCTGCACATGACTATTATCTTGTTCTTCACATCCTTTTGTTGGGCTCCGTTCTCTATCAGAGCCCCTGTCACTTTGAATAGACGTCAGGAGGAGGTGCAGCAGCGCCGGGCTGCAATTTCATTTGCGTTTTCGGAGACGTCCGTGGAGAGCCGGGCGCTCCTCCTGTTTTAATTTAAGCTCAGCCGCTTAATCTCAGCGTCGACGGCGACGCCCAAGCAAAGGCAAGGGCGGGGAGGCGGATGCCCGCTGTACACCTGAATCATGTCTCCCGTCCTCCTCAGAGGTGCCGTCCAGCCCGTCGCTCACCAAGGTGGAAGCGTTTTCTGGGTCTGCCCGGCTGGAGTTCCAGGAGCCCGAAGCCGGCGGCGGCGTGCCCGTCCTGCGCTACCGGCTGGAGTGGAGGCAGGCAGGCAGGGGACGCTGGGACAGCAAGCTCTATGAGGTCCTGGAGGGTATGCCACCGCCGTCTCTGCCACGGCTGCTAATTGCTGCCCTCCCCGCATGCCTCTGAGCACCACAGGAATGCATCATGGGAAAAAAGGAGCCGGCAGACTTCCTGTAGATAAACACACAATAGACCACATTACAAGCACCTAGCGGCAAACAATAGCTGGGGTTTGCAATTTGCCTGCAGGGACTTAGAACGAGCTCTGGACTTATGTTCCTGAATACAATGTCTCACGGTCTCCGTGTAGCTCCTGAGAAACCTGAGAGCACTATCATTGTTCTGTATGTAATAAGTCCCCCGTTTAACCCTCCTTTGAGCTTAAGTTAAACGTGTGGGGGCTCCGTACAGCAGTTTTCTTAGTGTGTTCTGCCATGCCTCCGTCCTCCAGCAGGGGGCCCTAGCGCGCTCACCATCGGCGGCCTGAAGCCGGACACGCACTACGAGGTGAAGATGTACGCCATCAACGGCAAGGGCGAGGGGGACAGCAGCCAGTTGCTGGCGTTCGTGACAGAGCCAGTGCGTAAGTACGATGCCGTTCGGCCGCATTGCGCTGAATCGGCCGCATTCGTCACCAGCCCCTGCCGACCGGGCCGACCGTCTCACTGTCACAAGAGGCGAGGGCCCCACCCATCATCCCCCTCCTCTCCCTACCAGCTGATTGGCCGTCCGCCAGCTGTGTATGTCAGTGTGATGAGTGCTGATTGGTTATACTTACAGTGCAATCAATAGCAACAAATCTCAGCCTTACTGTAAAGATTACTAACATTAATATGTACTAGCTGTATGCTAACCAGCCCTCACACCCTCCAAACCCATTGTTCTTCACCTGAATATGGTGACAGCCATGTTACTTTGTCGGCGTGTCTGTGGCGTGCTTTTATGTCTGTCCTGCCACGGAATGTGCCGGTTGTTGTCTGTTTGTGGACGCAGGCGTTTCGCCCGAGGTGTTTTTTGCTGTTCGGCTGCCCCTGCTCAGCGTCCGTTGTGCTCCAGGTGTGTAGGAGTGAGACTGTCCCTCTTCATTCCTGACACCCTGAACGGTTGGAGAAGGTGGGATCAGCAGACTAATAAGATCCTGCGAACTGTTTTCATTTTACGGACATCACTTGTCCACCCATAGAAAATGACAGACCCTTTTGTTCTTTGGTGGAGGTCAGATGGCTCTAATTAATATCACCGCGGTTCCTTTTTGAAGCTCAGTGCTGAACGTTAATATGATCAGGGTCTGTGTTTTTTTTCCCGTTAATTCGATTGCGGTTGAAGGCGTATGGGCCACTCTGCTGTTTGCAAACTGATGTGAAAACGGTGGCTCAGAGGATTCTTGGATGGGGTCCATCTCCCGTAGCCGTATTTGTGGTGAGCGCTGTGGATTTCGGGTTTGGCAAATGCTGTTTGAGTTTGTGTGCGTGTCTGTGTGTGTGTTTGTGTGCGTGTCTGTGTGCGTGTTTGTGTGTGTGTTTGTGTGCGTGTCTGTGTGTGTGTTTGTGTGCGTGTCTGTGTGCGTGTTTGTGTGCGTGTCTGAGTGGAGGAGGGCGACTTTTAAAGCCTGTCTTTGGAGGCAGTAATCGCTGTGTTAGCCACGGTCACAAAGGGAAACCGTAAAAATACTTTTCCATAATTTAAGATCTGTGAGGCTGGGTAAGAATTACCGTGAATTCCTAAGACGCTCGCCAACGGTCTTGGCTGAAACTACTACAGTTCTTCACAAGGTTATTATAAGATAACTCAGTGGTTTGCTGAGATCTTTCTTCTTTTTTTCTCCTTGTTTTCTCTCTTTCCTTTAAACTGCTTATTTTTATAGAGGATGAGGATTGAGGCTGAATCTGTAGGCAGCCGAGCGTCAGGGGCCCCCGTCATACCAGCCGTGGGTTAACAGCCTGAATCGCAGCTGCAGTTTTCTTGGTAGTCAGTGCTTCCTGAGGGCCGCCGCTTCTCGTTTTCACCCCCCCGTTTTGAACGTTGACCTCCTGTACTGTCACTCTGCAGTCTGCATCGGTCACCATTATCACTGTTGTGTTTTTGCAGTTGTGGCCGTGGAGTTCCCGTGTTCCTCCCGTGTCGCAGTCCAAAGATGCGCTACTTCGGTGCGTCTCCGTCGATACGGAGGACACGGGCTGGAGGAGGTTCCGCAGCCGCTTTTTAATAAGCTTGATCACATCAAAGGACACAGGGCGCGTCCGGCACACTGTGTCACAGAGTACCTCAGACTTCAGTGTCCTTTGGTGTCGTAGCCGTTATCTCCTGTGCTTCTGCTCACTCCACCTCAGCCATTCCTCTTTTCCGCCACATCCTGCCCATTTCCTCCCTAGCAGTAATTCTTTCCCATCCCCAGTTTCTCATCATAAGCCGTGGTCCGCCCTGGCTTCCCTCCCCTTCCTGATTCTCGCCCTTCGCAAATTTTCGTGAAACACACAGAGATACTCTTATCTTGGGAAATAACAGACTAAGTTTCTATCTAACATTCTGGCAGTATATTCTGTTTGTTCCCTGTAAGCCACTAAACCCCTCTTCTCCTTTCTGTTGTAGAAATTCCATTACCACAGTTGCTTACTGTGTGTGGGTATGTGCCCTGTAGTGGATCGGCATCCCGTCCAGGGTGTCCCCTGCCCTGTACCTTGTGCTGCTTTGTACTGAATAGCTAGTTGGAGTGATGGATGGATTGTAGCTGTGCTTGTGTGTGTTTGATGTTGTTCCTCAAACTGCGTCAGCACGTGGCTCTCTGTGTGGTCTGGCAAATCTGTTCCCAGAATAGCCCTGTGTCAATACCTGGGTCTGGTCTTTGAGTGATTACTCAGATTTTGTCCACAATATACTCTTGTGATGGTGTTTGTATTTACTGCAAAACTGCAGTTTCCTTAGATTTCATTCAATGCGCTGGATGCGGCGGCAATTTCAGGACAGTGAGAGGCCAGAGGTCTCTGTTACATGTGGAAAATGTCTCCTGGTGGCTTCAGAGGTTGTGAGACGTCCTCTGGCCCTGTGGAGACGTGTTTGCTCAGCCGACATAATGAGGATTCTCTTATCCTCATTGGGCACGGCGTTACCGCGTTAGTGTCGCCCCCGGGGGCTCTAATTATCCCCCCATTGCCACAAGAAAAATGATTTGTGAGGAATGCGTGTCCCCTCTTGGTTAACAGCGAGTGATTTTGGTTTCGCCGTTCCCTCCGCGAGCTTCTCGGCTGGGTGCGGTTAGCGGTGTCCAGGGTGTTTGCCGTGTCACGGACGCAGGACGGACTGCGTGAGAAGGGCCAGATGCCTCTGTCTCTGTCAGACGTTTGTCGGTCTGTTTACTGTCCCCATGCCATGTTTTTAACGTGTGACACATGCTGTGTTTGCAAAGTGCAGTCTCTCATTTTTGGCTTTTAAATGTATTTCCTCTGACAGTGGGCATTTAAGTGTCTGTTAATAAGTACTAATAAGCATAAATTTGCTATGCGTTTTGTAATGATATAATAGTACAACTGCTTATTAATTGTTTTGTTGTATTTGTCATATTTTTGATTTATGGATTTAGTGATGTTCATGCTCCAATCTGTGAATGGTTTATTCTGGTTTGACCTGAATTGTGCTGTTTTTCTGCTCTTTCTGTAAATATGTCTTTACTATTATTTTCCATTCTTGTATATATATATAATCATATTTTCTTATGACCTCTTCAACTTTCAACCAATCATGTGCGTGCATATCATGTGACTGTCATGTGACTTGCATGGGTGCTGGTGATGTCGCCCTCGCTGATCAACAGAAGGTAAATAATTGACTGGTTAGCTTTGGATAAAGACATAGAGACATTAAACCTACGCCACAAGCTCCATTCATGTGTTCTCATTGCATTTTATTCCTTTCTTCTGTGTTTTCTTTCTGAAAGGATCATTTTTCAGTTTTAAAGCATTTTTTATTTCAGTTTTTCATCATCGCTTTATGATACACAATTATATATAAAAACTATTCATCTTGCGTTTCCCTAAGTAGACGCCTCCTTGTAAAGCTGTAACACTCAGCCTCCTCTTCCTGGTGACTGGTCTCTATTCAGTGCACCTTTCACACCAAAAAATATAATAAAATGCCAAGACTCGCATAAATCAAAATGACAGGATTTCCACTGGTTTTTATGACCCCCCCCCCCTAATGGCACAATG